TATATATATATTTATATATATATATATATATATATATATATATATATATATATATATATATATATATATATATATATATATATATATATATATATATATATATATATATATATATATATATATATATATATATATATACATATGTGTGTGTGTGTGTGTGTGACTACTATTACTAACAGCAATGTTAGGTGGGCAAAATAAAAACTGAAAAAGGATACTTTTTTAAACTAGTATGGGTCTATAAATCTCATTGTCACCCTTTAAAAGGTTTAAAAACCAACATTTATAAATTTATATATTTATGAATGAAGAATTTTTTTGCAAAGCATAAACGGTTATTAACTACTTAATGTTGTGTACAATTTTCTTTAGTCACATTAAATTTAACTTGTTTATTGCAAAAAGGGTTTACATGGATATTGACATGAATATATGCAATTATATAAAACATGCTCAGTTTTTCAATATGACTTTCACAAAATTCACAAGATCTCCTTATTATCAACTTTTAATCTCAGGAATTATTTTAATGGATACACATCATTAGTCATTTAAACTGAAGTTCTTTAATTTTGGGGAGAATTGAATAAGAAATGTAACTTGTCTTATTTTTCTAAATAAATTCCTGTGAATTAAAATTGTAAAAATTATACGCATGATAAGTGTTCAGTGTCATGATTATGGAGGCCCAAGAGTACGGTGGCCGGGAAGTGCAAAACAACATTATAAAGTTTAAAAACACTTTTACAAAGCTCGAGACAAATTTACATTTTGAAAGACATGTTTACATATCATCAGACACAATTACATAGGGAAAACAATTTTACCAAGGACGAAACAAATTTACATTTTAGAAAACAAATTAACAAAACGCAAAACACTTTTACAAATCCCGAAACAAATTTACAATTAGATTCCCTATGGAAAAAGAATGTACCACACCCCGGAAAACCTTTGTAAAAGTGTTTCAAACTTTATAATGTTGTTTTGCACTTCCCGGCCACCGTACAAGAGTGCTGGTTAGAAAATCAAAGACTCAAATGATCAATTTAATTATTGAAGCATAAAAATGTCTTTATTTTCTTGTCTGCTTAGTCCCTTTATTAATCTGGGGTCGCCACAGCGGAATGAACCACCAACTTATCCAGCAAGTTTTTACGCAGCGGATGCCCTTCCAGCTGCAACCCATCTCTGGTAAACACCCACACACACATTTACACACACACTCATACACTATGGACAATTTAGCCTATCCAATTCACCTGTACCGCATGTCTTTGGACTGTGGGGGAAACCGGAGCACCCAGAGGAAACCCACGCGAATGCAGGGAGAACATGCAAACTCCACACAGAAACGCCAACTGTACCGAGGCTCGAACCAGCCACCTTCTAGCTGTGAGGGGACAGCACTACCTACTGCGCCACTGCTTCGACCAGCATAAAAATGTACATAAATAAATCACAATTGAAATGTTTTTAAATGTCATTTAATTATCAATAAACAATGCATTACAAATACATTTTAAATCTATGAATAAATAGATATTTTTATTACTGTATTATTATTTAATCCATGTTTTAAAGGCTGATTAATCAAACAGTAAAATTTGTATTAATAAATCACAAAACACATTTTAAACAGCTTTTTAAATAAGCATTTGGCAAATGCTTTTCTCCCTATTTGCTGTTTGGTTTTGCCACATGCTTTTCTCAAATTGAAAATGAATCGAGTTAAAAAATGACTCTGCTGTAATGAGCTATTGTTTTCCTCTGTTAGGAAAAAAAAGACAGTTAACAGTTTTATCTAGATTAAATGACCTTGGTGATAAAGATTTTATTGGAGATATAGAACAAAATGAACTTCGTATTTTGCCATCAGAGTTGGATTACTTCTATACAGAGAAAGCTAAAGGAGCTTTACTATCTAGAGTGAAATGGATAGAGGAGGGGGAGAAAAATTCTTCATATATATTTTTTTTTAATTTAGTAAAGCATAGACAATCTTCAAAAACTATTAATAAACTTAGTATAAATAACAATGTAAGTGAAGAGAAAACTTTGATTGATGATCACATCTATTCATATTATTATGTAAGTCAAAATTTAATGAGAGTGATTGTGACTTTTTCTTTTCCTTTTTAAAAGATAAAGTTCCTATTATAGATAACAGCTTCCGAGAAATTATGGAATCTGACATTGTTATCTCTGAACTTGATGTTGCTATTTCTCAAATGTTCAATGGAAAATCCCCAGGTACAGACGAAATCACAGTTGAGATTTATAAACATTTTTGGCCAGAGATGGGATTTTTAGTTTTTGAAGCACTTAAGGAATATATAGAGAAAGAGAACTATCGACTTCTATGAAGCAGGGTTTAATCATTTAGTTCCAAAGCCAAGCAAAGACCAATTATTTTTAGACAATTGGAAACCCATAACTCTTTTGTCCAATGATTTTAAATTGCTCTCTCATGTATTTGCCAATAGACTCAAAAAAAGGTATAGGCGAGATAATAAATGAAACACAATCAGCTTTCATTAAAGGGAGAAGTATTCACGATCATATCAGACTGATAGTTGATATGCTCGATTATAGGTATTTAATTCCTCAGACAAGTTTATTTCTATTTCTAGACTTTTTCAAGTCATTTGATACCCTTTAGCATCCTTTTTTGTCTTTAGAAAATCTTTAGAAACTTTTGGGTTTAGTCCGAGCTTTTGTAGGGTAATTTCCATGTTCTATACTGATATATTGAGTAGTAAATCTCTGAATTCAGGATCATCTCCTAGAGTTTACATCAAAAGAGGAATCCATCAAGGATGTCCCATCTCACCTTTACTTTTTAATATAGCTGTTGAACTTATGTCATTATATTTAAAAAATTGAGAGTACACTTTAGGTATTGATATACTTGGTCGGACTTTTAGTTTAAGTCAGTTTGCTGATGACACTCTATTAATTCTTAAGAATAGGGAGGTGCTCCCTTTAGCTCTTGTCAAAATTTCTGTTTCCTAAAGCTTCTGAATTCACCTTAAACCTAAGAAAATGTGGAATATTAACTATTCAGAATTGTACTTTAAGAGAATTAGAGGGTATTCTAGTAAAAGAAGAAGTTAAATATTTGGGAGTTACCATCTTCAAAAATTCTGTTAATAGAGAATGTGCAAATGTTAATATTAAAATGGAAGGTATGAAAAAAATCCCTAAATCATTGGCTAGCTAGAGACCTTTCCATATTGGGTGAAATTCTTTTGACTAAGACTGAGGGATTATCTAAAATTATATATTTAACTTATCCTTTATATACTCCTCCCAAAATAGTTAAATCTATAAATTCAATATTATTTAAATTTATTTGGAAAAATAAATCACATTATTTACGTAAGAATCATATGATCAAAGAGTTTGAATATGGAGGTTTAAAAGCTATCGATTTTGAATGTCTTCATGGCACTTTTAGAGTTAAATGGTTGAAAGAGTGTTTAGCTAAGCCTTATTCAATATTTTATCATATCCCAAATAATTTGTTTAAAAAAATTGGTGGCCTTGAATTTGTATTAAGATGTGATTATGATTGTTCAAAACTTCCTTTGAAGCTGTCTAATTTTCATAAGCAAGCACTGCTATTTTGGAAAATTATATTTACCCATAATTCCCCCCTCATAAATCCACTCTTTGGAATAATTGGGCTGTTGTTATTATTAACAGAAAATCATTGTTTAAAAGTGACTGGTACAATAAAGGCATTATATTTATTAATGATTTGTTAGATGAAAATGGACTGCTACTATCTCATAACGGATTTTTAAATAAATATAGAGTTAAAATCACAGATAAAGGTTATATTGAAATTTGTGAGGCTATACCTATTGCTTTGTTTAGGTTAATTCAAAGTAATTGTTTTAATCTCCCATGTATACTTGTAACTTTTCTTCCGTCTTTAAAAATATCAATGTTGATATTTTTGATAGTAATTATAACAACAAGCTTATTTACAACACGCCTTATAATGTGTGATTTTAAGTGTTATCATCTAGGAGTTGTTAAACCCTTAGTAGAGGACAAAGCTTTTAACTTTTCTCTTAAATATCCTGTAGCACCTAAGGTTAAGGAAACTCATTACAGAATTTTATTCAGGATATACCATGTGAAGGAGTTTATTCAAAAAAGATTTAGCTTCTGCTCCAAAAACACTCGATCACTTATGTTTTTCTTGTGAATTTACTTTTAAATTCTGGTTTGACATCCATACTTGGCTTTCATTAAAAATGATTTCAGTCCCCCCTATTGTTCTAAAAGATATTTTATTTTACAAAGCTGATTTACATTGTTCTTTCTCTGATGTTGTGAACTTTATTTTACTAATGGGTAAATATCAAATTTATTGCTGTAAGTGGAAAAAGTGCAGACCCTCTTTTAGATGTTTTCTTTCTGAGGTAAAGAAATTGGCTCAAAGCCTCAAATATTTCAAAAACCAAAGTAAAATAACTGAAGCTCTCTGTACTTCATTTTCATAATATTTATTGTTAAAATATTTTGTTTGTCCTTTGATGTAGATCTTTTGTACTGCTCCTTGCTCCTTGTTGCAGTTGTAACAATTTTAATTTATTTTATATATTTGTAATGGTAAATATGCCTTGCGATGTTGATTGTTCCGTTTTGTGATGTAAACATTTTGCAACAATAATAAAAAAAAACACTTATACTTAGTAGATTAAACAAGTTTTTTAAAATTGTGTAAAAATGTTTGGATTAAAAGTTTTGATCAACTTCAAACACTAAATGTCTATGTATTTGAAAGAGAGAGAGCAGATATGTTATGTGAGATGTGAAAAGGAGTGTGAAATTTGTCATGTCCTGACTGCAACAGTAAGTGGCAAAAAAGCTGAACAAAAAAGACTTTTATTTTGGCTTGTTGTGTGACGTCACAAGGCTGCGCCGCTTCCGCGCTGCGGTTCAACTGGAGGAAGGTTTGCTTCACAACTTTACACAAATATAAACCGATTGATTAAAGTTTCAGGTTTTCCTTTCGATATTATATACCTGCGGTTGACTATTATTTTAATCCTTTATACAACGAAGTACTATTTTAATAACAGTAATCGAGGGCTATTGTTTGAACAACTGAAATGTGTGTTTTAATGAAGGTTTTATTTGTTTACTAGCATAATGTCATTCTAATATAAGTATACAATATTCTATATATATATATATATATATATATATATATATATATATATATATATATATATATATATATATATATATATATATATATATATATATATATATATATATATATATATATATATATATATATATATATATATATATATATATATATATATATATATATATATATATATATATATATATATATATATATATATATATATATATATATATATATATATATATATATATATATATATATATATATATATATATATATATATATATATATATATATATATATATATATATATATATATATATATATATATATATATATATATATATATATATATATATATATATATATATATATATATATATATATATATATATATATATATATATATATATATATAGAGATATATATATATATATATATATATATATATATATATATATATATATATATATATATATATATATATATATATATATA